AAGATGTTGTGTCTGCTGAAAACTAAAAAATAAATATTTAAAAAAAAAAAAACAAATTGATAATTGTTATGTCTTGCTGGTGGATGGTTCTCTTTAACAGTATATAGTGTCCTTCTTTATCCCTTTTGATTAACTTAGGTTTGAAGTTGATTTTATTCGATATGAGTATGGCCACTCCTGCTTGCTTCCAAGGGCCATGTGAGTGGTATGATTTTTCCCAACCTTTTACCTTCAGCCTGTGTATGTCTTTTCCTATCATATGAGTTTCCTGAGGCAGCATATTGTTGGATTTGTTTTTTTTGATCCAGGTTACTAGCCTATGTCTCTTGATTGGTGAGTTTAGGCCATTAACATTTAAGGTTACAATTGAAATACGATTTGTACTTCCAGTCATGTTTATTTATTTATTTATTTTAGTTTGGCTAGTTTTTACTTTTTGGTTATTTTCCTCCCCCTTTACTGAGATACCTCCCGCTGTTAGTTTTGGGCACTATTTTTCAATTCCTCTTCTTGTAGTATTTTGCTCAAAATGCTTTGCAGTGTTGGTTTTCTTGCTGCGAATTCTTTTAGCTTTTGTTTATCATGAAAGATTTAAATTTTATTGTCAAATCTGAAGCTTAATTTTGCTGGATACAGTATTCTTGGTTGAAATCCATTATTTTTCAGCTTTTGAAATATATTGTTCCAGGATCTCGCTTTCAAAGTCTGTGATGAAAAATCAGTCGTTAACCTAATTGGTTTACCCCTGAATGTAATCTGCCTCCTTTCTCTCGTAGCTTTTAGTATTCTCTCCTTGTTCTGTATGTTGGCTATTTCATAATTATATGTCTTGGAGTTGGTCTATTATGGTTTTGAATGTTTGGGGTCCTGTAGGCTTCCAGGATTTGGCAATCCATTCCATCTTTCATCTCTGGGAAGTTTTCTAGAATTATTCCATTTAATATGTTGTCCATTCCTTTGGTTTGCATCTCTATGTCTTCTTCTATCCTGATGACTCTCAAATTTGTTTTTTTTATGACATCCCATATCTCTTGAATAGATTGCTCATGGGATTTAAGCATCTTTTCTGTGTTGACTATATTCTTTTCAAGTTGATAAACTTTGTCTTCATTATCTGATGTTCTGACTTCTACTTGATCAAGTCTATTTGAAATATTCTCGTTTGAGTTTTTAATTTGGTTTTTAGTTTCCTGCATTTCTATGATTACTGTTTGATTTTTTTAAGATCTTTATCTCCTGGTAAAGTTCATTCTTTTCCATTTGAATTTGTTTGTTTAATTCATTTTCAAAATATTCTTTTATTGCTTGGACTTGCTGTCTCATGTCTTCTCTAATATTCCTTTCCATTTGAGTTAGGTATGCCTTGAGTTCTTTCCCTATCCCTGTTTCTGATGCTTCTAGGTCCTCCTGCAGAATTAAGTTGTCCTGCATTTTTTGTATTCCTTTTTTTCCTTGTTTTTTCATGATGTTCACGTTACTTTCCAGCTCTATTTGATTGCTGTGTTTCTGCTCTCTTCTATAGATTTGTTTTGGTTTTGTATATCTTTGTTGTCTCTCCTTTGTGTTGGTAGACTATGGCTGCTAAAGTGGATTCCGATGGGAAGGAATTCCGACGCCCAAGCTCCAGTGACGTCACCTCTCTGCTATGGCTGGCCCCAGGCTCCTTGCCGGGGTGTCCGAATGGGGGGTGGGACTGGACTGTCTCTGGTTGGTTTCAGTTCCGGTCACCGGCGTGAGGGCGGTCTCCAGCCGCCCAATCACGCGGGCAGTGGGTGGAGTATCGCCGGCGTGTGTGCGGTCTCCAGCCACCCAGTCTTGAGGGCCTGGCCTCTAGTCCCCTGGTTTCTCCTGCTAGTCCTGCTTTCTCCTGCTAGACCAGATTTCCCCTGAGTGATGCCTCTCAGCAGTTGAAACTGTACTCTGGGCCTGCTGTTTGTTGGGTATGGAGGGTGTCTATTGGGAACCCCGGCACTCTATTGTTTTGTTTTCTTCCACTTACCCCTCCCCCAGCGCTGGCTAGACAGGTTTCGTTTTCGCCGCTGATGGGAGGGGGAGTTGAAGGTCAGGTGTCTCTAGTTTTCCCCGAGTCTTTATGCAGGCTTGCTCTGATAATCCCTCCCCCAGAAAGCCTAGGAGAGATTTTATGCGAATTCCCCACTGTATGGGAGATGAGCACACACCTGTTTTTTGTTGCAGTCTGTCTGAGAGTGGCGGTGTTTACTTCAGTTCTCCAAGATAGTGGCCGCTGGTTTCCTTGGTGGAGTTTCCGTTGTGGGGGATAGAACTGTACTGCTTCCTTCCCCATCTGAAATCCCGAACTCAGCCCAGGGCTCAGTGGAGGCTCAACCGGCAGGATTCCACAGAATCCGCAGCCACGTTTCTCCCTGCTTGCTGGTCGCTTCCCGGTGGTGCCCCGC